CTCTAGATGTTCCATTTTCAATTGACGACTTAAGATAAGTGCACATTTTTGAGTTTCAAGTTTATCTTTAAAATAATTCTGAAGCTTTTGGATACTGTTAAACTTTATATAGCTTTTCTCAGTATTTTTTGTCGCAGGAAGGATCTCACGAGTAAGGAGTGTTTGATTTGAAACTGATTCAACGATCAAAGGGTGTAAAGGAATGCCTCCGTTAGCCAAACTATTTTCGCGTATTCTGAGTTTTGGAATATGAACCTGATAAAAAATAACTTTAAAATCTATATATGTATGTGATATTAATTTAGATTCAATTACAAACCTCAAATCCAGAATAAAGTTCAAAATTTTCTTTTTGCTCCTGACTCTTTTTCACTTCAAAGTCATAACATATGTCATTTGCATCATGCATGTAATCGTCTTCTTCTTCCGAGTGATCCTCATCATCAGTTCCGGATGCTTGCCAGTCAATACTATCCAAGTCAGTTTCACTCATTATGCATATTTGATGTTCAGTGAGTTTCGTAAGATATCTACGTACATATATATGTCGATATGAGAATAACGATAATTTGCAAACAAATTTTATGCTTAAATTCTATATGTATTACCTATGCATATTGGAAAGATTCTTTTTACGATGCGAGGAAGCCAAATCTTCATAACAACCATCTTCGCTCCAATGTATTACCAAGAATTGGTTCTCGAAAGGGCTCGTATTAGCTTTAACTGAGGGTAATTTAAGAAGATATATGCCAGGTCGTAAAGTCGTATTCGTTCCGTAAGTATTATTTGAACTTGCCGATGCTATCAACAATTCGTACCTTGATATTTTATGTATTCAATGAATAGGCGATTTATAATATTTACTATTCAAAGTAACCAAACTTACTTTGCTTGATCAATAATAGCCTTATTTAATAAAAATTTAGCAATCATTTCATTACGACCATAGCATCCGACGAGACGAATATTTTTAGAATTCAATTTTTTATAGTCGATTTTGGAAATGGATTTAAAACTCCTCGGCACCAGTCCATTGCAAAGACGTTTCACGTGTTGTTGCGAAATTATAATTTTATCCACTACAAACGTCATGACGATCTGTTAAAACAGAACTTTATTTTAAAGCAAGGAAACTTTTACATACCAAGACCATTCGATCCTTCATCTTTGCATAAGTCTAATAAACGATAAAGTCCGAAAATGACTTCACAGAGATCTGGCGCTTGCTCAGGTTCGTGATCAGATTCAGAATCAGGGTCTATTTCCATATATTCTATTTTTGATTCGTAATTTTGGTGACTGGTAGGATTTCCAGACGCGTCCCTATCTGCTGTTACAATTCTATTAAATAAATGTTTATGGAGTTTAAAATTGCACGCGTATCCACCCTAACCTTGCATTGTGATGTTCTTTTTGTCCGCAAATTCTTTAATGTCAACTTTTTCAACATTTTCGTCATCGGACAATATAGTAATGCTAACTTTTTCGACATCGGACAATGTAGTACTGCTATTAGTCCTATGTTCAGATTCAGAGTCGATTTCCATATTTTCACAATTCTGGTAACCGGTATAACTTTCGGACGCGTCCTCATCTATTGTTACAATTCTATTAAATAAATATCTAGAAGTTAAATTATATGTATATTCAAACTAACCTTGCATTTTAGTGTTCTTTTTGTCTGCAACTTCAGGAAAGTCAGCTATTTCTTGATATCTCGACGTATCAAGCTGACACGCAAAAGACTGATCATCATTTTCTGTGAAGAGAATTTGTCTATAAAAGGTTTTCAATAATTTGCAATAACGATATGGGAATATTTACCTGACTCTTTGTCAGACGTGTTGCTTGAATTTGGAATAATCATTTAATATACGAGGATGAAAAATTCGACAGTTCTCGCCGTGTATTTATTTGCTGCAAAGATGTAGAGTGATCAGATGATTTGCGTCCATTGTTAAGATCAAATGGTATAGAAAAGGTTCGAAATTCGTTAACAATAGATTTCAATTGCCGCCGATGCTTAATGGACAAGTACTTCTAATAATGTGAACGTTTCAATGATTTTCATGTGAGATTTCGCTTCACTTCTCATACAGTACCCGATTCTCTGTTATCAGAGGAACACAATTAAATATATTCAGACTCCTCTATAGTCGCACCACTCATAGTCATGACACTCATATATTCACACCTATGTTTGGCACCAAATTATTATTGAACTAGTAAAAATAAAATAGTCAGATTTCTCTTTAATCGCCATTTTCTTATGTTCCAATCCTGGACTATAAGGAGGTCTGACTGTGGTCATAAGACTACAATTGTTAAAATTTATTATTAAAAAATAGTAGTGGTAGTAAATTAAGAAAAGGAGTTCGCAATAAAGTCATAAATAAAACTAAGGGTAAATAAATAGAGTTAGTATCGCAATCTAATTTTAGAAAATTCGTCCATTTCTGGTTTTAAGAACAATAGTTTAGCTCAAACCACAAACGTTCAATTGATAAGTCGCGATGATTAAATAATAAACGACCGTATGACACTACTTCCCCTAAATTTTGCCTAATTAAGAGGAGCGCCAAATATCAGGTACATGTATTCTTTGGTTGTTCTCGATCATCAGGTTCTACAAGATTATGGTATATTATGACTCATCTTGATCAAGTGGGGGGGGGGGGGGGTAGGGGTGTTTCTCTAATAAATAAAAATCACCGGATATTTGGCGCTCACCCTCAAAGCGTTCTTTAGTAATATGAGCTTGAAAAATTGCACTGTGAATCTTGAATTATTGGCAGAAGAAATAATCGTTTTACTTGGTTAAATTTTTCTACAATTCACTAGTTTTTTGTTCTAGTAAAAACAAGAAATATAAGCTTGAACTGAACTGACTCTTGATAAAAATACGTTTTATTCTTAGTGACTATAATAAACTATATTTATAATCATATAATTATAAAGGAATAAATCATTCCAGAAGGATGTGCTTTTAGACATTTTCCCATAATTTATTTAAATATGTCCTCTGTGTGCAGAAATTTAATACATGTAATTGATATGGTTGGAGACTTCTATTTTCTATGCCCAGCCAAAAGAAATGAATGAATATCATAACTTACTGGATTATTTTGAATAAAGTCTTCGCTTTCAAGATGCCCATAGCATTCAAACACCTCAAACATTTCAATGTTGTAGGTTAGCCAATATTCACGCTCGAAATTCCAATGTCCTGGATAATATGTTCTGGTGGGTAATTAAGATATAATGTCGTTAAATGTGTTATTTTTTTTAAATACTTGGTTTTTAGATTCATTACAAGGCGTGTTAACGTCCGATTTCTATCCGAAGTTAACCAAAAGTGCATATTTCAATTTTGAATTTATAAAAGCTGCATTGGACTATTGGACTTAAAAATAGTATGAACTATTCATATAAGAAAGACTAGTGGTATTCCAAGAAGATAAATAAGTATAAAATCAAAAACTAAATTTATCTCCGCCTAATCCAAAGGTTTAACCATAACGTACACAGTCAACGTCGATATAACGGACCCCTCCGTTCCTGCCATGCTGTCCGGTAAATCGACAGATCCGCTATAACAGACAAAAATTATGTAATGTTATTTATGTTATACGTCGCGGAATTCACGTCAATTCCGAATTGACGTACATCATTTTGGAATTCTGAAACGACGTACGTCATTTTGGAATTCTGAAACGACGTACGTCAATTCGGAATTGACGTGAATCCCGAAACGACGTATAACATTTATATATAGCTGCTTCCGAAAAATAGTCCGTTATAGATCAAATCCGTTATATCGATCGTCCGTTATATCGACGTTGACTGTGTAAATGGAATCTCTTGCTGTCAAAAAAAAATTGTCTTTTTTGTGCCTGGATCGTTATAGCACATTTGAAATCCTTCTGATTCTACCTATAAAAAGGCAAGCACTTAAGATCCACAGAAATTGCAAGGAATAGTACGAAATGATATACATAAACACATTTTTGGTACGGTTTTTTAGCACGAAACTACACGTATAACCCTTGTTAAAAACCATGCCCGAAACGTGTTTATGTATACGGAATTTGTCGCATTTCCCGTGCTTGTACGTATGGTGCATAAAATCTAAAGTCATCAAGTGTTTGTATTTTGTAAAATGTATAAACTTCTTTACTAAGAAGTAAATACAAAATTTAATCCGTGAATATGATAGAATAGACCTTTTCTGAGCATATTCACGGATTAAATTTTGTATTTACTTCTTAGTAAAGAAGTTTATACATTTTATGAAATACAAACGTTTGATGACTTTAGATTTTATGCACCATACCATGAGACATTTGATATTATTCTTTGCAATGGCCGTGGTTTTTACATGCTTACCTTTTTTATAGGGTCTTCGTTACCAAATCCCTACTCATATCTTCTAATAGATAAAACGATCATTTCATTAATCTCTAAGGGTTTAACAACTTATCATAATTCCTTTTCTAACTACTGTTATTTGCCATACAGAATACCCGCTTATAGTACGTACCCTCTGTATATTATACCGGATCTAATTTATAGTTTAAAATGTAGCATACCCGGATCTATAGAAATATAATATATAATAGTCTGGATCTGGTACGACATCCCGAAAACCATAATCCCGACAACTTATAAACCCAACAAACAAAATACCGAATACACGAGATCCCGAATGCACAGCATCCCGAATGGACGAAATCCCGAATGCACGGCATCCCGAATGGACGAAATACCGAAAGAACGGCATCCCGAATACACGAAATCCCGATATTTAAAATCTTAATATTTCACTTCATTAATTTCATTGATATATCTGGTATTTCGTCCATTCGGGATACCGTGCGTTCGGGATTTCGTGCTTTCAGAATGCTGTGCTTTCGATATGCTGTGCTTTCGGGATTTCGTGCTTTCGTGCATTTTGTATGCCGTGCTTTCGGGATTTCGTTTGTCGGGCTTATGGTTGTCGGGTTGTGGTTGTCGATGTTGGACGTCACCGAATAGTCTACACTTAATAATACTATATATCAATCAATATTAATAACATCTAATTCCATAATTAGCCATTGCATTATGATAATCGAGACAGGTAAATATGGCTAGCTTTTCGCGTGCACTCCAACTGCGTTTTTTAATTTAACTTTTGCTGAATTAGTAAAATTTTGTCATAGGGCGTCATTCTTAAACTTTATTATATATGTTATTAATATTATTAATTAATAAAGTACATGGTTGTCCCATTTGAATGGATCCTTTTGAAGGATTCACTAATGCTGAGTATCTTGCAAAAGAAAGTTTTGGAACAATTATAAAGCCTCGCAGATTGAAAGTAATTTTTCATACAAGCTATCTATTGTAATGACTTTTGTCTCCCAAATGTCAGCTACACACAGATATGTACATTATGAACTTGAGGCTTAGCTTGATGAATGCGAATGGGGTGTCTTTGGCTTATATGCTTTTGGACATCAAAAGACTTTTTATTTTGTTTCGATCTAATTTTTTTAAATTGTTCTATTTTCAAGCATTGTAGTTATCGTCAGCCCTTATTTTGGTTTATTATGCGATTTAATAAATTTGTTTATAGATAAAAATGCAAGATCTATAATCGACAAACAAATCTATAAACTTTTCAACTAGGAAGTAAATTCAAAATTTAATCCAACAGAATAGTCAAGAAAATCTATTATTGGAATAAGTTTTGAATTTAGTTCCTACTTAAGATGTTTATAGAATTTAAAAACGATGTATTGTCGATTACAGATGACCTGCAATCATTCCTATTTATACAAGCATTATCGGATAAGAACTATCGCTATTGACTTTATATACATGTATCAAAATTGAGTGTATCGGTATGATTTAGCTTATAGGACTAAAAATAGCGTGATCTCTTTACAATAAATTGTATTTTTTAAATTATATACCGATAACCATAAACTGCTTAACTAGGAACTAAATTCCAAATTTAATCTAATAAATGATCGAATAGATCTTTGACGGTGGGATAAATTTAGAATTTACTTCCTAATTGAAAAGTTTATAGAATTTAAAAATGCAATTTATTGTCGAGTATAAGCGGTGTTGGTGAGCCAACACTGGGTCAGTGTTCCATTGATCCTGTATAATCACGGGATGATTATTACAATAAGAACCAATTAACTTGGTCCATTGATATAAGCAAGCTGCGCCGTAATGGAACATGGACCAAGTCCATTGGCAGTCTATTGGTCCAGTACAACCACTGGATCTGGTCCATTGGCAACACTGATTATAAGTGACCGACTACTTTTTAATAATAAAATGAACAGTGGTAGTCCTATGACCATTACCGGTTTTTAATTGTTTTCACAATAGGACGAAATCTCGCATGAAAATCATACATTTACCCTTACATTAACTCATCGGCGGAAATTTAAATTCTATTGTTGACGAATTTCAAATCTCATGTGTGCCGTGTTCTGACCTTAAGAAATTTAACAATGGGTTCGATAAAATTGAATAACAATGCAAATCATTGATCCCTCTGCATCTTCGCGATAATAAATACACGGCGAAAGCTGCCGAATTTTTCAGCTTTGTCTCTATTATTCCAATTTCAAGTAGCATGTCCGACAAAAAGTCAGGTAAATTGCAAATACTAACTAAGAGCAATGATTAGCTGGGCTACCAAGAAAAAGATGACTATTGATATTTCTTTAATAGCTCCTGGAAGTTATAGTGAATTCGACTCTGGATCCGAAAATAATAAATCCAAGAAAGTTCCGCGGTCAAATAGTACTAATAGCAGTACTATATTGTCCGATGACGAAAAAGTTGACATTAAGGAATTTGTGGATAAAAAGCACATCACAATGCAAGGTTAAGTTGGATATATGTATCAATTTAACCTTTATGAACAATTTATTTAATAGAATTGTAACAACAGATAAGGACGCGTCTGGAAATTCTACCGGTCACCAAAATAGTGAGTCAAAACCGGACGATATGGAACTCAACCCTGAATCTGAATATAATTGCGAATATGAGCAAGCACCAGATCTCTGTGAATTTATTCCCGGACTTTATCGTTTATTAGACTTATGCAAAGATGAAGGATCGAATGGTCTTGGTATGTAAAAGTTTCTTGCTTTAAAATAAAGTTCTGTTTTAACAGATCGTCATGACGTTTGTAGTGGATAAAATTATAATTTCGCAACAAC